ACAAAATTAAAATCTGCAAGTTCTGCTTAATTGAACTTAAAATATGAAATTTTGATGGAAAAGATTATCTAAATTTTTTAAGTGTTGCCAACTTATTCTGGTTTACAGTGTAGCAACCACCTTTAACAAGACAAGTAAAAGCTTTAAAAAAACACAAGGGGGTTGTGGTCCTACAAGATTATAGGATCGTTCCCTGATAAACTTTGCTTTCGCTCACAAATTTTTTTTTTTGTTCCCCCGAGAAACTTCGCTATCAAACCTTTTGATTTCTTTGCGAGCAAATGCAACGTTTTATCGTGGAACGCGAAAGTTTTTGCAAGAGAATGTAAAAGTTTTGCAAGGCATTGCAACGGTTTTGCGAGCGCATGCGCCATGCAAAGTTTCTCGGGGGAATCCAAAACATTTGAACTTATATTTTTTCCTTCCTCATGTCCCTTTTGGGTCTCCGTAGAATAAAGACGCTTTTGTTGGATTACAGACGCATTTTTTGCTTGCGTTACGCTGTACTTGTAGTTGTCGTGGATGCTGACACCTATGTGAACATAGCATCATTCAAAAGATTTCATTGTAGAAATACACAATATGTTATTTACAGTCATAATTGAAAAAAAAAAATCAATAACATCAATTGATCCACTTCATTAGGAACATGGGATGGGCAACTTTAGTCCTGAATGGCTCCAACCCTGATAAAAACATACCTGACTGTAGCGTAACCTGAAGACCTTGATTAGCTTATTGTAATGTTTAATTTGGGTTTCCATATGCAGTAAACAGAATATTAGCAGGCCTTTCTGCAGGTTGCCTTGTGTGTTATGGTGTGCAGTGAAAGACTTTAGGATGACGAGTTCCTAATTGGGATTGCAACAACCACAGCTATTCATAGCTGAGTTTTGCTGAGTTTAAAGTGATGTCATGTTTCAAGGCCAGGGAAACAGGATTGTATCGGATTCGCAAGGGCAAAAATAGCCATGTTTGAGGGAGCCGTATTTTTGGGCTAAATTCTCTCCTGTACCTAATCGTCCCGTTTATCTCCAGCAAGATTTCCACGAGAGAGCGTGTAAGTGGTGACGTCCCGAATCCCCAGGAGGAGAGGAAAAACTGAAGCATCAGCAGACGCAAAAACAAGCGTTTGCTGTTTTTCCTCTGATCTTTTCCATGCATGTCCTCGCCGTTTAATCTTCCGTCCTGTTTCTGCTCAATGTTCTCCGTGAACTTCTGGCAAACCTCCTTGACCCCTTTCCAGACCGGCATCTAGGCCAGGCAGCCTCGTTCTCGCCCAGGGGACGTCTGTCTAAGACTTTCTATTATGGGAAAATTAAAGGGATAGAGAGCTCTCCTGGATAATGCTTGAATGCCTTGCACTACCTGTCCTTTTCCAGCAACTTTTCCTGTTTATGTAGCAGTTTAATGGTTTCATGTTCCAGCTAAGTTATCATCCATATGTAGATAGAAGCTTTTGCTCTTAGTGAACTTCCTCTTTAACTTCTGATGATATCTGAATAACAATAATAAACGACATAATGAACATTCAAAGATTAAGAAAACCAGGAACCACTGGAGGGATAATAGACATTTTCAGTGTACAAATCAATATTTGTTTCCTGCCCTCCTTATGCACCCGGGGCCATCTGGCGATGCCGAAATGTGGACGTTCACCAGTCGGAAACCAAATTAGGCGCACGGGCTGATGTGGATTAATCCCAAGAGTGCACAAACTCTGAGGAGCTGACAAATGAGGGATGCTGGAATGGATTTGTAGGAAGAGTGTGTGTGTTTGAGTCTCTCATCTGATCATCTTATGGGAAATCACATATTGGATGTCCAGATGTGTCAATAAAACATCTGACTTATGTGACAGACCTGAATGTGACTGCTTTCACTGGAGGCTTTCTGAGGAGGGATGACTTCTTGTTTTTGATCTCTGGAGCAGGGGCGTGGCACTGCCCCCTCCCTGAATATGATTGGCCCCCCCATCATCATTGGGTTAGATTTACTGTCAACCTGACAATCCCCAACGCCATTGGATCAGAGCGCTGTCGATCACTGCTTGATTTGCGATTTGCAAAGCGTAATCCCGCGTCCGCGTTTTTCAAACAGTAGAAGAGAGAGACGCCGCGACACATCACGGTTTATGGTACACACTCAATTACATTGTATATTTTGAAATATCGCACCGTATGTCAGTATGATTACTTTTGTGTGTGACTGATCAAGCTAATAACGTTAGATTAGCTAACGTAACTTCGGCAGACTGTATTGAGAATGAGAATGTGACGTCACGCATATCATTCCGCGTGGGATCCGCCATCTTGGGAGGATACGCTATCCGTTGTCATGGTTACTTCGACCGTGAGACCGAGAGAAATAGCCACAGAGAATGAGAGCAGCTTAATATTTCTATGCATTTTTGCGATAAGGCACAGTTTCTTGGGAATAAATGGAGCAAAAGGAAAGGGTCTCCATCGGAAGAGACTAAATAACAACACTAAGCAGCATTATATTTAGAGAAACTACTTGACATCAACATACAGACCCTTAAGACCACTACCAACTTTCACATACCCTGACCCCTGAAATTGTGGCCACATTGTTTCATTGTGGTTGGTGACATGACTATTGGCTATTTTTTGCATTTAACACGAGCCTAAATGAGATTTGAGAGTAAGAATAACGTGTTATAAATAATAAATTAGCATAATTAGTCAAGTTAAATTTACTTTAATTTAAAATTTAATCTAATAAATTTTAATTATTTATCATTTATTTATTCAGAGCCCCTGAAGTGACATGGTGATGAAAAATATATGAGATGGAAAATGTATTTTAATACCTTTAGTTGCTCTTGAAAATGATTTGTTTCCCCAAGAAACAAGTGCATGTGGAAGTGAAGGCGAAATGTCCTGGGGAATGCAAAGTTTCTTGGGAAATGCAAAACATATGAGTATTGAAATCATTTTTCCTCCCATCTCATATTTTTTTTCCGTCCCCTCATTTGTAGGCTAATTCATATTCAAGATATAATTTTAAAAACTTGAAATGAAATTTATTTTACTCATTCAAATCCAGTGGGTGTCGCCAATTTGAGTTAACACTCATTAAATGGAAGAGAATCAGTTCTTAAATTCATGATTTTACCTGATTCTGCTAACTGTGTTTTAGTCATTATAATGCACAGCCTTGAGTGGCTTATAAAGCATTCTTGAAACTTAGTCGCTTTGGATAAAACGGTCGTCTTTCAGTAAAACGTAGGCTATCCAGGTTTTGATTTGCATATTGTCTGTTGTGTAGAAGGAAGGTGTTCTGACAGTTTCGGTCTGTCGATTCTGTAAACATGTACAGGATATAAGTGCAGAACATCAACACCACTTTAAAAACAAATATTGGTTTAATTTACGCCACCTGCAGATCGGTCTCCTGTGAAGGGATGGAACATGATGTGAATGTGAATGTGCCGTATGATGATTCGTTCTCTCTCTCGTTGTGTTGTCAGTGACTGATCCAACACGCTGAGTGTACCTCAGAGAAATGTGTATCGCACCAGGGACCTTTCAGAAACATCAGAAAATTACTTTTCAAAAGAATTTCCGTCTCTGTGTAGAGCTCTGAATAATTGTGCTTTGACTGTTTCATGCGTCACCGTCCAAACATTCTGTGCTGTTATGAATGTTATTGGTGTAGTTGGTTTGAGATCTAAAGGAGTTTGATTTACCTGCTGTGAAAATATATAGGCTACGGCAACTTTCAGAACTCAGAAGTTCCCAGTCCAAAATTGCATTTATTGGATCTAAACTTTAAAAAAATACTTCTGCAATGTTTTGACATTGACAAATAAAAGTTCAACTCATGATCTCTGGCTGCTTTTGAAAGCACATACAGTGCTTCTCTTAAAGGGATACTCCCCTTTTTTTGGAAATAGGCTCATTTTACCACTCCCCCAGAGTTAAACAGTTGAGTTTTACCGTTTTCAAATGTATTCAGCCGATTTTATGATATTTAGAAGAATATCAGTAACCAGACAGTTTCTGGTCTCATTGACTTCGATAGTATATATTTTTTCCAAATGAGACCAGAAACTGTCTGGTTACTAATATTCTTCTAAATATCAGAAAATCGGCTGAATGGATTCGAAAACGGTAAAAATCAACTGTTTAACTCTGGGGGAGTGGTAAAATGAGCCTATTTCCAAAAAAAAAAAAGTGGAGTATCCCTTTAATATGTAAATATAGAGTAGTTTGTAATTCTGAATTCAGCAAATGCCACATTATGACTCATTCTGCTTTAGTACACAATTTATACTTTTCTTCAAAAGAAAGTATGTGAAACAGTAGCACTGGTCCCAATGATGTGACATGTAAGTTTAAGTCAGCATGTATGAATTTTGAATCAACTTTTGAGTGAAAATGTGTTCACACATTTAGCAAACAGATCAAATAATAGCCAAGAAAGGTTTCTGGTTCATTTCACTGTAAATACAGTCAAATGGATCACACTAAATTGTGGAATACAGTATTTCTCAGTGTGTTCTGGTTGCAAACTGCACACTGTTGCATACTTATAGAAACGTGTACACAGTATATGCCCTTCCAAGAGATTTATGGGTTATATCTTAACCATGACCACTCCTCTAAATTAGTTAACCCTCATCCATTGTGCAGGAGGACAGCGGTGATCACGGCTGCTGTAGTACTGTGGTGTGTGTGATAGTGTTTGTGAGAAACACATAACCTTAATAGCATTCTGCAGTTCTGTGGTGGTGTATTCTGCTGTTAGAAATATGTAATGTGTTGTGTTAGTGGACTTTAAGAGCCTCAGGGATGAGCTTTGGAGCCTTGTAAATTTAAAACTAATTTACACGATTGCAATGTGACTGCAAAATAGATTCCAAGCGAGCGCTGGTCATTAAATCAGCGTAATCATATTCACACAAATTGTCATTCTCTCTCTTTCACACACACAGAGCCGTTAAGTGTCTGACTGACGTTGGTGTTTGTTTGCAGGTATGGAGACATGGTTCCAAACACCATCGCTGGAAAGATCTTCGGCTCAATCTGCTCTCTTAGTGGCGTGCTGGTTATCGCCCTCCCTGTACCCGTCATTGTGTCGAACTTCAGCCGGATCTACCATCAGAACCAGAGAGCTGACAAGATGAGAGCGCAGCAGGTACTAAAGAATTCATCCCAGCATAGATATGTTCGGGATAATCTTCTGCTGTTTTTTTTTTTTTTTAAGGGGTGGTAAAGTATGATTTCACTTTTCTAACTTTAGTTAGTGTGTAGTGTTGCTGTTTGAGTATAAACAACAGTATCAAAGTACGCTCAAAGTTTAAAGCAAAGGAAGATATTTACTTTTAAAGGGATACTCCACTTTTTTTTGGAAAAAGGCTCATTTTACCACTCCCCCAGAGTTAAACAGTCGAGTTTTACCGTTTTCGAATCCATTCAGAAGATTTTCTGATATTTAGAAGAATATCTGTAACCAGACAGTTTCTGGTCTCATTAGCCATGTTTCCATCCACTTGTCAATCGAAATATCTGAAATTCGGTTTAAAAACTCATGCGGATAAAGCTGGTGAAAGTGTGTTTCCATCCAACGGCTTTAAAGCGAATAAAAACCTGTACGTAATGACGTCACTTGCTGTTTTGCGATCAAATTGGTATATCGAATTGATTTGAGACATTTTAAGGTGTTTCCATTTATTTTCGCACTGAATCGAACAACATTCAAGCAAACTTTTGCGAACAAAGTTTTTGTTAGACAAAACGGATCGCGCCATCTACCAAAAAATGATCAATATTTCACAAGTTGAAGGCTAATAATGCTTATGTGCCAGCTGATTGCGACATATGAATGGGATAATGTATGCGAGGCGGTTGTTGGTTGTATTCGCTATAACAACCGCCTCGCTATATATTATCCTGCTTATTAGCCTACATATAAATCAACCAAATAAATAAATAAATCAATAATTTGACACAAAATATTGCCTTAAAAACGAGTTTATTGATTTAAAAACGAGTATTGCTTCTGCTAAAGAAAATAGTCTGTTCCGTCTCTGAACTGCGTCCATGGCAACGGTGTGTTATACTAGAAGTGCCGCAGTCTGTTAACTAGAAATAACAGACCACATTCTACATTACAATTCAACCAAGCCACGTAAAAACAAGCAAAACTAAACTAAGAAAACAGCGACGCTATAAACATTGCTATGATGATGACGATGCACGTATGCCCGACGACAGCGGAGGTGACTGTGGTTTGGGAACGACAGCGCTCCATCAGTTCTGGGAGATTGTGGTTCACGGAAACCCTTTGGTTGAAGCATCTTTTTGCTTTGTCCACTTACATCTGTCTTTGTTGACATCCGCCATGTGTGCGCAAACAGACTGGCCGGAAATGAACTCGTCTTCTGACGTGTTGCAACCATAAAAGGGCATAAAACTTAATCGTAATTCATTATTTATTCGGCAAATAACGTTTCCTTTTATCGCATTAGCCGTATATCGATCAAGAGAAAATCCGATGAGACCGAACGTATTTCATTTGAGTCGATTTTCATGAAATTTCATCGAATTTTACTGTTTCCATAAGGCATTTTTCATTCGATATCACTTAATTCGGATAAAAACGTGTCGATGGAAACATGGCTATTGACTTCCATAGTATATTTTTTTTCCTACCATGGAAGTCAATTAGACCAGAAACTGTCTGGTTACTGATATTGTTCTAAATATCAGAAAATCGGCTGAATGGATTCGAAAACGGTAAAACTCGACTGTTTAATTCTGGGGGAGTTGTAAAATGAGCCTATTTCCAAAAAAAAAAAAGTGGAGTATCCCTTTACAGAAAAAGACTACAACAAATGGCTGGTAGGGACTACACAAGCTTCCTCCCGGGTTAGTGACATCACCAACCCTAAAATGTACATAAACCCCGCCCCTGGGAACACGGAGTCCATGTTGAGAAAATGAAAAGTTGTTGTAGTCGAGTATTTGTGAGTCAGCTCAAACTTTAGCATCCATTTTTTCACATTGAATAGAAAGCCACTCTGTGTGCATCTCACAACAGTTCCTATATGAGCGATTTATAGATTACATGACAGAATATGCTTATTGAAGATAGTTAACTCCACATTAGCAACATAAATTCATCAACTAATCATTCAGAGACGACCTGTTGCATTCTACATGTTGTCACTTCTTCTTGAGTCTCTCCTTCTTTGACTGACTCTGATTTAACATTAAAGGGAGAACAGTTTCTGTCATTTTAGTGTGTCTGTGTGAGGAAATCGCAGCTGCTAACACACCCGCCCTCTGCAGCAGCTCATTTGCATTTAAAGGGCCAGGCACAAAACGGTGCGTTTTTGCAAACCCTCAAAAAGGGACAACTTTAACATGCTATATAAAAATATTTGGGGGGTATTTTGTGTTAAAACTTGCACACACACATGTCTGGGGACATCAGAGACGTATTTTACATCTTGTGAAAATGGCATTTTACCACCCCATTAAGTGCCATTTTAAAGGTTCCTAATTTTGTTTCAGAGGTCTCCTACAATAGGTGTACATGCATCCAAGGTCAAAAAAAAAAAAAAAAAATGCTATAATTTTCCAATAATATACTCTGCAGCATCACCTTCTTTTCTCACAGGGTTTGAAAAGATTTGGTCCCTTCTTTCTGAGAGCCTGCTCTGCTCTTATTGAAAACCAAACGGCCATTACCATAAAGGAATTTTAGGTTTCCTCAGCACTTGATACACAGTCAAACGGTCTTTAAGGAATAGGGTTGGCTCAAATTTGTTTCAGACATATATACCTACTTTTTTTTGCCCCCCCAAAAAGTTTTAAAGCCTAGAAACACCCCTAGTCTGTCTACTTTTGTCAAAAATATTTCATTATGATCTATTCGTATTTGTCCTTGAGGATGAATGTGGGTTGCCTGTTTTTAGGAATCTGTTATTATTTATTATTGAAATCATATTGTCAGAGCTGTTTACAGTACATTGACCATTAGTGCTCATACAGGCAATGTGAGTTTTTATCTGGCTTGCTAAATTTCCAAGTTAAGTATCCCATCTCCCCTTCACAATAAGTAGTCAAAAGGTCAAACAGCACTGATCATTGAACGAACCATGATGTAACTAAACCGCATCACGGGCATCATTACACCTCTGAGTCACTGCAGTTGTTTGTGAAGCAAATGCTTACACGATCGATTCAGATTAATGCTCTTTTGTTTTACAGAAAGTGCGACAGGCAAGGATTCGCATGGCCAAGAAGGGAACCACCAATGCCTTCCTACAATACAAAGAAGAAGGGGATTCCAGGTGAGATTTATCTTGTGGATTCAATTTAGTTTCACTGTAACTAAAAATCTAGTCTAAAAAGATGTGATCATTCACTCATTCTCATGTCACTCCAGACTCGTAGGGCTTTCTTGCTAGAAAACAAAAGACATTTTGTAGAGCCAATATGTATTCACACGATCCTTCAGAAATCACTCTAATATGCTGATTTGCTGCTCAAGAAACATTTATTATTTTTATCAATGTTGAAAACAGTTCAAAAACATAACATTTTTTCCAGGGTTCTTTGATGAATGGTAAGTTCAAAAGAACAGCACTTATTTGAAATAGAATTCTTTGTAACATTATAAATGTCTTTACTCTCTCTTTCATTAATTGAATGCTTCCTTGCATTTCTTTTAAAATAATTTTAGTGACTTAATACTTTTGAAGTGTAGTGCACATGCACTAAATGCATGTATGGTGTGCGTCTTCTGGATCAAAGCAAGTTTGTGAATGAACAGACTACAGTAGGTTGAATGAAACGTCAGAAGACTTGAATAACTCTTAGAAAAA